AGCAATTCACTCTGCTTATCTCCTCTCACTTTAAGTGGGCAACACTATAATGTTACATTACTTTCTTTAGCCTTTAGAAACAATCCTGAGTACAGCATCTTCCTCCTTTAAGCAGCTACTCAGTACAGCAACAAAATCACAACTGGATACCTTGTAAAGAGCACGATTTCATACTGTGTTAGCAACCACGGTTTTCATTTATTACAAGACATAAAAATTGGAAAATCCAACTGGGAAGCCGAATAGCTCCTTTTCCATCAGGTTGTCCATCCAGTTTGATAGAGATGTGGAAATAAAATTAAAAACATATCAAACAAAGAAGCACGTTGGGTTCATGCCCAATATGAAATTTTGTTTTTAGATATCTTTATAAACTACCATTCTCTATCCTATCATCAGTTACAGATGTGCAACATGTCTCTCACCTTGTTTCCTCCTTGTTTCAGCTTAATCTCCAACACGCCCTCCATTCTGATTGGCTCCCCAGGTGTGACCTGGCAGTAAGTATGACAGGTGTGAGAACATGTGGTTGATGATGATTATTAATTTAATGAATAAGACAGTTTATACCTCAGGTTCGGGTTGTCCCTCTGCTAGATCTAAAGACTTTTGTTGAGGTCTAGGAGAAGGGGGAATAAGGTCAACCATGAGTTAACTTACTTTTTAATGTTTTTTGTATAATTATGTGTGCAATTTTTTTAGCGCAGCATGCTGATCCCATGGATGATTAATATATCTTTTCTTGCTATGAGCTGAAACCACTGCAGTAACTTTTTTTTTTTAAGTTGAGGAATCAGCGAGTCGATGTCAAAGCAGCAGGAAATGGGCCATGCTCACGTCTTATCCTCCTTTGTGATTGGTGCAGCCGTCGGGGCGTTGGGTGGTGTAATGTGATCAGCAGCAGGTGGAGCAGGAGAGCCAGGCACATCGGGCTGCCTAGATGTTGGTGATTTAGGGCGAATACATCTTTCTTTCACAGGTGGAGGTGGTGGCGGTTCAGTGGGGGCAACAAGTCGTCTGATTGCTGAAGGTGAGTTTGGTGGAGTGGTGGGTTTCTCTGGGTGGTTCGGAGAATCAGAGCGGCAGCCAAACGCCTGCTCTGAAAAGGAAATTCTGGGCTTTGGAGCCACAGGTGGTTTGGACCTGGGCCGAGTCTCTTTCAGTGAATGGGACTGAGGAGGCTGTGAAGAGGAATCTGCTGATTCTCCAAGGGGGGTGTTAGAATTTAGGTGTGAATTTTTGATTTGCCTTCTCCCGGCGTTAACTGTCGGGCTGGGACTGAACTCATCGGACTCATCAGAACTGTCAGCCGATTCTACTTTTTTAATAATCTTTGAATCTGATCCAGGTCCCAGTGGTGGGCTGAGAAGAGGGCTAGGAGAACCAGAGACAGCTTCTGCTTTCTTCTCCAGCACGGATGGTCTGATTGTTCTGTCTGTCTGCCTGCCACTGCTGGCCCCATGAACGTCTCTAGAGAAGATCCGTGGGGTCTTTAGTTCTGATGGTTTACTTCTCAGGGAGGAAACTCTAGCTGGAGGCTGTCTGTACTGGAGGTCCTTCTCCTCATTTCCATGAAGACCCAGTCTGTTTTCCCTCTGCAATAAAAAAGAAAGTGTTTTTAACAGGGTTCATGCACTACAAAAATCTAAATCAATGGTTTTAAGACATTTTTAAGATCTCAGTATCTAATAAAGACAGAGAAAACCAGTGTTTGGGGGAAAAAGCCTTTGATTTAGTCTATGAACCTCTATTCTTTCCTGTTGTTAATGTTACCTGTGTTTTCTTTTTCTGAAGTGCAATGAAACGGTCACTCTGGGCCTGGATCATGGCCTCCAAGTCCTCCTGCCTCTTAAGGAGCTCCATAACGTCAGACACAGAATCCTGGAGGAACCACAGAAAATGTTCTGGTTAAGAGACGTTTTAATGCCACAAGT